CTGAGATAACATTTTTTTTTTGAGATGAATCTCGCTTTGTTGCCCAGGCTGGAGTACAGCAGTGCGATCTCAGCTCACTGCAACCTCCGCCTCCTGGGTTCAAGCGATTCTCCTGTCTCAGCCTCCCAAGTGGCTGGCATTACAGGCATGCGCCACCACACTTGGCTAATTTTTGTATTTTGAGTAGAAAGGGGGTTTTACCTGCTTGGCCAGGCTGATCTCAAACTCCTGACCTCAAGTAATCCGCCAACCTCAGCCTCCCAAAATGCTGGGATTATAGGCATGAGCCACCATGCCTGGGCCCAGAAATAATGTTATCTACCCATTCACAAGGGCATAACCCATGTGGCCTAATTACTTTTCATCAAGCCCCACCTCACAACACTGGGGATCAAGTTTCCAACTTTGGGAGACACGATCAAACCGTAGCAGAGCCCCAGCTGAAAACCTAAGACAGGTGGAGGTAAAGTTTTGCTTCCAAGGCCTATGCTTGAAACTGGCTCACAGGAAGTTGCACTACATTCGTCTACAGGACAAAGCAAGTCACAGGACCAGCCTGGATTCAGAGGTGGGGAAACACACTCCACTTCTTGATGGCAGGAGCCATGGTCACACAGCACAGAGTGTCAATACAGCAAGCCACTAACCGTGGTCAATGCAGTCACCCCCACAGCAACCCAGAACTCTGTGCCCCGTCACAGCACTGGGCAGTCCCCAGCAATTAAACTTTCCTGTTGGGACTGCACTCTCTTTTTTTTTTTTTTTTTTGAGACAGAGTCTTGCTCTGTCACCCAGGCTGTGGTGCCGTGGCTGGATCTCGGCTCACTGCAAGCTCCGCCTCCCGGGTTTACGCCATTCTCCTGCCTCAGACTCCCGAGTAGCTGGGACTACAGGCACCCACCACCTCGCCCAGCTAATTTTTTGTATTTTTTAGTAGAGACGGGGTTTCACCATATAAGCCAGGATGGTCTCGATCTCCTGACCTCATGATCCGCCCGTCTCGGCCTCCCAAAGTGCTGGGATTACAGGCTTGAGCCACCGCGCCCGGCCAAGGGACTGCACTCTCACAGAGAAATGAGACATACGTGATCAGCACCACAAGTATGTACCTACCCAGCCTTGGCTTTACTGTGCCTAGTCAGCCAGGCCACTTTCTTTGTCCTGAAAGTTAACCTGGGTTCACTCTGAGGCTTAATGTACTGCCCACGTGCAGACAGCAAATTCGGGAACCAGTCAAGCATGTCCTGACACCTTGGCAGGGGAGAATAGGTGGGTCATATGGCAGAGGACTGGGATACAAAGAGGCCATTAATTGCAGCCATCAATAAAATGTGTGACTTAAACAGGGGCAAATGAAGGGATGCTACTGTCTGGCTGGGCATGAGATGGAGTCTCACTCTGTTGTCCAGGCTGGAGTGCAGTGGCATTGTCTTGGCTCACTGCACTCTCCGCCTCCTGGATTCAAGGGATTCTCCTGCCTCAGCCTGCTGAGTAGCTGGGATTACAGGCGTGCACCACCACACCCGGCTAATTTTTTGTATTTTTAGTAGAGACAGGGTTTCACCATGTTGACCAGGCTGGTCTCAAACTCCTGACCTCAAATGATCTGCCCACCTCAGCCTCTCAAAATGCTGGCATTACAGGCATGAGCTACCACGCCTGGCATGTGGTTGAAATCTTAACCCACAATATGATGGTGTTGGGAGGTGGAGCCTTTGGGAGGTGATTAGATAATGAGGGTGGAGACCTCAAGAATGGGATAAGTGACATTCTTAAAAAGGCCCTGGAGGCTGGGTGCAGTGGCTCATGCCTGTAATCCCAGCATTTGGGAGACTAAGGCGGGCAGATCACTTGAGGTCAGGAGTTTGAGACCAACCTGGCCAATATGGTGAAACCCAGTGTCTACAAAAATACAAAAATTAGCTGGGCATGGTGGTGCATCCCTGTAGTCCCAGCTCCTCAGGAGGCTGAGGCAGGAGAATTGCTTGAACCCAGGAGGCAGAGAGAGGCAGAGGTTGCAAGTGAGCCGAGATTGTGCCACTGCACTCCAGCCTGGGCGACAGAGCCAGACTCCGTCTCAAAAAAAGGCCCTGGAGAGCTGCCTCCTATCTTCTACCATAAGAGGACACAGCTAGAAGGCACTTGTCTGTGAAAAAGTGGGCCCTCATCAGACAACACCGGTGGCTTGGACTTCCCAGTCTCCAGACTCGTGAGAAAAAGGTATGTTTATAAGTTACCCAGTCTTTTTTTTTTTTTTTGAGATGGAGTCTTGCTCTGTCACCCAGGCTAGAGTGAGATGGCATGGTCTTTGCTCACTGTAACCTCCGCCTCCCGGGTTCAAGCGATTCTCCTGCCTTAGCTTCCCGAGTAACTGGGATTACAGGTATGTGCCACCACACCCCGCTCATTTTGTATTTTTAGTAGAGGAAGGTTTTTGCCATGTTGGCCAGGCTGGTCTTGAATGCCCGACCTCAGGTGATTCACCCACCTCGGCCTCCCACAGTGCTGGGATTACAGGCATGAGCCACTGCATCCAGCCAAGTTACCTACTTTTAAGGTATTTTGTTATAACCACCTGAACAAGAACAAAGAAAGATACTCTCCAAGCCACGTAGTACCCATTCATAAATCTGGGGTTTTAAATACCTTCCTCCTATTATTGTCACGAGAGATAGATTCAAGTTTCATTTGGTTGAAGCTTCTAAAGCTGGAAGGAACCTAAAATGAGCTTCAACTTCAAGGCTAATGTGCCTCTGCTCCCTCCACGTAAAGCAGAAAATGTCAGATCTCCCTTGCCCTGCCTGCTTTGCAGGGAGGATGTGGCTCCACAATCCAGGTTCCCCCCATCTGTGGCCACAGCCAGGATGAGGATCAGAAGCTGGTGACCACCTGCATCCCTCCTGGTAGCTGATGGCAACCGTGAGGGAAACTGCCTCATTTCACAGGTAACAGGGTCAGAAGCTCTGGTGGCATCCAACACAGTTCCCAGACCAGCTCTGCGTTCCAGTGTGACTTGGGTTCATTTATGTGGCTAACTCAGCTTCCCCGTCCTTTCCAGAGGTTCCGTGAGCTTTTCTTTTAAACATGAACCGGATACTTATTGACTCTCATTTCCTGAGCTTGGGACTAAACCCTCTACACATCCAGCATTCCTTTACTAAGCCCTTTTGTCCCCAGAGCTAGGAAGTGTGGCTTACAGGCAGGGATCATCCTCTGCTCTCCTCCAAGGCCTGGCCCAGAAGGACCAAGGGAAGACAGATCCAACCCAGAGCCATTTCCCTTCCAACCTCTTGGCAAGCCTGATGAGTTCCACTCCCCCCTGACGGGCACACCTGCCTTCCAGGCACTGATCCTGCTGTCCCCGTCTTGCTCTGCCACTCACTATGCCTGGCTCTCTGCCCAGCCCTCCCCAGCCTTCTCTCCCCCTACCTTTCCCACTTATTGCCTCCCTCCAGGCCTGTCCAGGATGATAAGCTCTGGTCTCAGCATTCAAAGCCTCCTCTATCTGTTGTGGGTGGCAAGCCACCCAGGTGCCAAGGCAAGAGACCGAGGGCACGAGCTATTCCAGTATAATAAAATATATAAAATAAGAATAGTTCTACTAGATAGAGATCATAGATATGATTCTATACGAATATCATTCATCATGAGTTTGTAGCAATTACTCTTTATTCCAATATTATAATAATCCTTGCTCTACAATTATAACCTAGGAAAATCCAGGCCATACAGAGATAGGAGCTAAAGGGGCATGGTGAGAAGGGACCAGAAGACAAGAGTGTGAGCCCTCTGTCATGCCCAGAGGGGGCCACCAGAGGGCTCCTTGGTCTAGCGGTAATGCCACCGTCTGGGAAGACGCCTGTCACCAAGCAGACCATGGTCTAGTGGTAGTCAGAGCTAGACATCAGTCAGGCCCGCCCACAGTTATCGGGAGGCCTAACCATCTCCCTGTGATGCTGTGCTTCAGCGGTCACGCTCCTGTTTCACTTTCATGTACACCTGGCTCTGCCCTCTAGATAGCAGTAGCAAAACTAGTGGAAGTATTAAAGTCTTTGATCTTTCTGAAAAGAGCATAGGAGAAATAATGATGTAAGCTGTCCTCTCTCCACCTCCGCTACCTAACAGGGAAGGGCCCCCTGTCCGGTGGACACGTGACTCACGTGACCTCATCAATCCTTGGAGATGACTCACACTCTTTACCCTTTAGCTTTGTATCCAATAAATAACAGCGCAGCCAGGCATTCAGGGCCACTTCCAGTCTCTGCATCTTGGTGGTAGTGGTCCCCCAGGCCCAGCTGTCTTTTATCTCTCTGTCTTGTATCCTTTATTTCTACGACCTCTCGTCTCTGCACAAGGGGAGAAAACCCCACAGACCCAGTAGGGCTGGCCCCTACAATCTCTCAGCTGTGTCCCTGGCCATGACTCTGCTTGCTCTTCCCGAAAGCAATTAAAATGGGAAAATCTGACCCTTCTCACCCAGGAGGCAGGGCCTCTCCTCCCAACTGGAGCCCCAGAGCAAAAGCTCTCTCCTCCCTTCATCCTCCTCACCATGTGATTTTGGACAAGTCTTTTCACTTCTGAGTTTTGCCATGTGTGCACGTGTGCATGTGTATGTGATGTGCAGACCTTTGGAGTCTTATCACCACAGTGCCTCTCCACTCCCGGCCAGTGCTAGGGCACCCCCTCAGCTGCTGCAGGATGTATCCCCAGAAGGAGAGAGTTAAAGGGGAAGAAAGCCCTTGAGTAGGAGCCAAGTCATCTGAACGCACACCCTGTGCCCAGAGGAGGTAGGGGCAAGAGTTGCTTTCCATGAAGAGTGAACCTGATGAGAAGGCAGCTCCAGAGGACTCAGGAAAACCAAGAATCAGGAGAGAAAGAAATGTGCAGTCCTTGCCTACTTCAGGGGGGTACCACGAACTCCTTGGTCAATATAGGGACCTGCCTCTCCGTGCGCCCCAGCCCCCTCTGCACCATGCACTCTCCTCCCGGACCTGGCACCCGCTACAACTGTGGCCTCCACTAATGCCGGGGGTGCGAGGAGGTGGACGATGCCCAGGTGAAGCCGTTCAGGCCTCGTGGCAGCACCAGATCAAGGGCGAGGTTGCGCTGCTCGTCCTCAGAGTATACAGGCCGGTAGCCCAGCAGCTGCAGGGCACCAGTGCACAGTTCCTGCACGCGGCGGATCTTGGCAAAGGGCAGCGCGTGGCGCCAGGCCTGGGAGACGTTGAGCGCATTCCTGGACGAAGTCTTGAAGGCTTCGCGGCGTGCACCAGGTCCAGATCCGTGGGTGATGTTATGGATCCAGGCCTCGAGCTGTGGTGTGAGACTCAGCCCGGTGAAGGCGTAGAGCGCACGGATTTCTGCCAGCGGCTCCCGCGCCAGGTCCTCGAAGCGCACTAGGCGGTAGCGGCCGCGCAGGAAGGGTGGCGGCTTGAGTGTGGCGGCCTCGGCGATGCGTACGTGGCTACGGCACACCTCGCGTACCACGCGCAGGCCGGGGTCGGCCTCCACCCACGTGCCATTGGTGCCCAGCACGATGCCGTTGTCACGCGCCAGAGCCTTGGCTGTCTGCTCCCGGGAGCGCAGAACAGCCCGCGGGTCACGCACCAGGTGCACGATGCGCAGGTTGAGCGTGGGGTCACTGAGCAGCGGGTAGAGCACCTGCAGGTTGAAGAAGCGCACCTCCTTGAGCACCACGTGGCTGTAGGAGCGGCAGGCCTCCTGGGCCAGGCTGAAGGGCTGCCGCGCGCACAGTGGCTTGCACACCGCCTCGCTGCTGATGGCGCCTCGGGGAAAGGCACTGCAGGCGGGTGGCGAGCAGAGTGCACGGCTCACGGCCCACTGGAAGAGGTCGGACAGGTTGCGGCGCCAAGGCAGATAGGCATCAAACACGTCCATGTCACACAGGAAGACGGAGCGCACCAGGTCACGCACGGCCATGTGCAGCGTTGCGGCGCTGCCTTGCGACAGGGTGGTCCACACGTGCCACGCGGGCTCCATTAGGTAGAAGACGTCGGGGTGCTGGCTGAAGAGTTGGCCCACGAAGGAGGAGCCCGAGCGCCACGAGGACAGCACCAGCACATGCACGCGCTCCTCGCCGCCTGCTGGGGACGAGGGCCCTGGCCGGGAAACCAGAAAGAGGAGGAGGAAGGTCTGCGCCAGGAGGAGCGCGGTCACTGCTGTGCTGGAGACTCGCGGCAGCCACATGCTGACTGCTGGGGGCCTTAGGGAGGAGAGCGCAGCGGTTAGGGGCTGCAGCCTGCACGCCCATCCCGTGCCCCACTGCCCAGTGCCTTCAGGGAGCAGATTCGACCACCAGACCAGAGCCTCCCATGAACATGATGGTCTCAGTGGGGCGCTCTCCCGGAAATGTGGCCTTAAGACATAACTCAGGATCCAGTCTAGCTGAGAGCAAAAGTACAAATGCAGAATGCGGTCAGAAATCTGTCTGTATGTGAGTCCTACCTTCTTAGCTACCTACCCACATTACCACTGTCTATTTGGAGAGGGAAATATATTCCAAACGGAATTCCTGTCTTTTGCTTAAGAATTCCTGTGAGGAAACTCTTTTAGGTTGTTGAACTGATGGGCGCTCTGGTGGCCGTCACAGCACCGCCAGGCTCCCTGAGGCTCTTCCACTCCGTAGTCCGTGATCTTTCTTCTAACTTTCCACACTACACTGACATACATAGCCTGTGATCTTGAACCAAATACTGGATCGCTCCATGACTCAGTTTACCCATCTGTAAAAGCGGGATGATAGCAGCACATAACACAGGATTTGGGTGGATTATTAGGCAATGGGAAAATGCTTGAATATCCTGGATGGGCAGGAGGGACACGCAGTAATGTCCCTAACTGAAGAGTGCCCTTGCTACAGTGTGTGCTCTGCATTGTATGATTTTTTTGTTTAAAAAGACGGGTATAACTTTTCTTATGGAAAATAACTTTTCTTATTGAAAATAAGCAAACAGGCAGGACGCGATGATTCAAGCCTGTACTCCCAGCACTTTGAGAGGCTCAGGTGGGAGGATACCTTGAAGCTAAAAGTTTGCGACTAGCCTGGGCAACATATGGATAGCCTTCCTGTCTCTACAAAAACATTAAAAAAAAAAAAAAAGAAAGAAAGAAAGAAAGAAAAGAAAAGAAAAGAAAAGCCAGGTGTGGTGGTGTGTGCCTGTGGTCCCTGCTACTCGGGAGGTTGACGTGGGAGGACTGCTTGAGCCCAGGAGTTTAAGGTTGCAGTGAGCTTTGATCATGCAACTGCACTCCAGCTTGGGCGACAGAGTGAGACTCTGACTCAAAAAATACAATACAATATCAAAATGAGCAAATAAGGCCAGGCACGGTGGCTCATGCCTATAATCCTAGCAATTTGGGAGGTTGAGGTGGGCAGATCACCTGAGGTCAGGAGTTCGAGACCAACCTGGCCAACATGGTGAAATCCCATCTCTACCAAAAACATACAAAAATTAGCTGGGCATGGTGGCGCATGCCTGTAGTCTCAGTTACTTGGTAGGGTGAGGCGGGAAAATTGCTTGAACCCGGGAGGCAGAGGTTGTGGTGAGCTGAGATTGCGCCACTATACTCCAGCCTGGGCAAAAGAGTGAGACTCTGTCTCAAAAACAAAAACATGAGCCAATAAATAAAGTGGACAAAGAACACCAACTGTTGCCATCACTGGTGGGGGGTGAAGTGCTGAAGGCAGCATGGGCCCCAGAGGGAGGGTGTCCTGAAGCCCCGTGGGTTTGCAAGGAGACCAGTTGAGGCGGAGCTGGGATGGAGCCGGAGAAGCAGAGAGGTGAGAGCAGAGTACTGTTCTGGCCAACTGAGGGGACTCACCACTGTCCAGGGCTGCTGGGAGAGCTGCAACGCTGATCACAAATCCATGGGAGATGATGAGAGGCTCCTCAGTACCTGGTAAAGCAGAAGGGCAATGGAGTCACACCCTACAGGGGAAGATAGCCCCAAAAGTGACATAACTTCTCTGAGGCTCGATTTCCACTTCTGTAGAGTGGGATTTGCAACATTTAACCTCTTAGGGCTGTTGTGAGATGCAGCTGCAAACACCGAAGAAGAGGGGGCCTGGGAGAGCATTCCTTACACACATGCCCCCATTACTGTTACTGTCCCTGTGCTGAGCTACTGTTTGCAGAGGAGGAACCCCCTCCACCTGGGGAGTCTCCCCCAAGAGGAGACACCCATAGGCCACCTACTCTTCCAATCCCAGTATCTCACAGGCCATCCTCTGGCCTCCAACAACCAGCCCTTTAGTGGACCTTAAGAATGTCGCATAGGTCGGGCATGGAGGCTCATACCTGTAACCCCAGCACTTTGAGAGGCAAGGCAGGCGGATCACCTGAGGTCGGGAATTTGAGACCAGCTTGACCAACATGGAGAAACCCCGTCTCTACTAAAAATACAAAATTAGCCAGGCGTGGTGGCGCATGCCTGTAACCCCAGCTACTCGGAAGGCTGAGGCAGGAAAATCACTTGAACCCGGGAGGCAGAGGTTGTGGTGAGCCGAGATCATGCCATTGCATTCCACCCTGGGCAACAAGGGCGAAACTCCATCTCAAGAAAAAAAAAAAAGGAATGTCACGCATGTCTCGCAGGGTAGAAGGAACACTGGGCCGGCCTCCCGCATTCCAAGGTCCCAAAGTATTCTTCTCTTTGCACCTGTTGCTTCTGCAATGATCTCAAGACCGGGTGACTTTGGAAGGGAGGGGCCTGGAAATTTTCTCCTTGCTCCTGCATCCTTTGCTCCCTGCCTTCCCCACTCCCCTGTCCAGGTCACCACTGAGAGAAGCCACGGTCTAACTTGGGAGCAGATCCCATTTCTGCCCCTTCCCCTCATCAGGAGGCAACAGGGGTGGGTGGAGGATGCCCAGCAGCTCTGTCAGCAGCTGACTGCACAGCCTGTCTGGGAAAACCTGGAAGACGGGGAGAGTAGCCACTCATCTGCTTTGCACATGATCAACGCTCCTCCAGTGCCAGTGGGCTGACGATGGTTGGCTTCCTGCCAATGGGGCACCGAAAGAGAAGGGAACTCATTTTCTGACTTCAAGTGCTAGGTGCTTCAAGTCCACAGGATGACTTAACTCAGCGGGCCCTGAGTGGGGCATGATGATGTCAGTTTTTCAGGTGAAGGACTCAAGGCTTGGAGAGACAGCAGGAAAGCTGGGACCCCAGGACTCCTGTTCCTAAGCTCCTGGCACTTCTGATCCCAGGCTGTGGGCCTCTCCCACGTGTGATTGCTCCCTGCAGAGTGCAGGACCCTGCTGCTCTGGCCCAAACACAGTTGTCCTGGCCAGCCCAGCCCTTCCCTGGTAGGGAGGATCTTGATCCCAAGCCAAGGTGTTTGTTACCTGTGTTCCAGGAAAGCCAGAGGTCTTCTTAAGTGACTCACACACTACAGGAACTGCTATGAGATCCTATTACTGAAACTCAAGAACTAGGAAGGTGCTTGAATCATCCTATGCCACAGAGTCTCCAGAAGACCAGTTCCCAGCTGGGAGCTTTCTGGTAGAAGCCTTGCACTCAGCACAGTGGACATTTGGGACAAGGGTTTGACATGAGGAAGAAAAAGTCAGGCAAGCCCTGTGATAGGTACTTTTGCTTTCATGATTAAATGCTATCATCCCAAGTCCCTAGGAGGCAGAAATGACCATCCCTGTCTGTTTTAACTGAAGCAGTGGGGCTCAGAGATGTGAATACCCAGTGAGGAGGAAGGGCAGGGGCTTAAATCCAAGAACCAGCCGGGTATGGTACTTCATGCCTGTAATTACGGCATTTTGGGAGGCTGAAGTGGGTGAAATGCTTGGGCCCAGAAGCTCAAGACCAGCCTGGATAACATGGCAAAACCCCATCTCTACTAAAAATACAAAAATTAGCCTGGTGCAGTGGTGCAGACCTGTAGTCCCAGCTACTCAGGAGGCTGAGGTGGGAGGATTGCTTGAGCCTAGGAGGCAGAGGTTGCAGTGAGCTGAGATTGTGTGACTGCACTCCAGCCTGGGCAATGGAGAGAGACTGTCTCAAAAATAAATAAATAATAAATAAATCAACAGGCCAGGTGCGCGGTGGCTCACACCTGTAAACCCAGCACTTTGGGAGGCTAAGGTGGGTAGATCACCTAAGGTCAGGAATTCGAGACCAGCCTGACCAAATGGTGAAACTCCGTCTCTACTAAAAATACAAAAATTAGCCAGGCGTGATGGCAGGTGCCTGTAGTCCCAGCAACTCGGGAGGCTGAGGCAGGAGAATTGCTTGAACCTGGGAGGTGGAGGTTGCAGTGAGCCGAGATCACGCCACTGCACTCCAGCCTGGGTGACAGAGTGAGACTCCATCTCAAAAGGTAAACAAACAAACAAACAAACAAAAATAAATCCAAGAACCAGACCCTCACTGCAGGGCTCTGTAGTGGGTGTCACAGTCCTGAGCCTTTGTCCGGTGATCTGAGATCGCGCCACTGCACTCCAGCCTGGGTGACAGAGTGAGACTCCATCTCAAAAGGTAAACAAACAAACAAACAAACAAAAATAAATCCAAGAACCAGACCCTCACTGCAGGGCTCTGTAGTGGGTGTCACAGTCCTGAGCCTTTGTCCGGTACCATTTCCCATCCTGGAAGGCCTATCTCCCCCTTGAAAGTCTTCCCTTGATGAGGGGCACATATTTATTATAGTTTAATTTTTGGAAAAGATAACACATAGATGTTGTATAAAATTCTAAGCCAGGCATGGTGGCTCCTGCCTGTAATCCCAGCCCTTTGGGAGGCTGAGGCGGGCAGATCACTAGAGGTCAGGAGATCGAGACCAGCCCGGCCAACTTGGCAAAACCCCGTCTCTACTAAAAATACAAAAATTAGCCGAGTGTGGTGGCAGGTGCCTGCAGTCCCAGCTACTCAGGAAGCTGAGGCAGGAGAATCATTTAAACCTGGGAGACGGAGGTTGCAGTGAGCTGAGACTGTACCACTGTACTCCAGCCTGGGTGACAGAGCGAGACTCTATCTCGAAAAACAAAAAAAAAATTCTCAAGGTACAGATGCGGGCATTATCAGCTCATGTTTCATGTGTGAAGACAGGAAAAGAGGCCACACTCCCTGGGCAGACACAGCCCCACACCAGAGCACAAAGCTAGTCAGGCAGAAGGAAGTGACATTTCCTATCTCTCATGCCCTCTCCAGCCCTCCAACCTCAGAGGCAATTCTGCTTTAAATTTCCAACAAGTAATTAGTGGTGATGATGGTGATGATAACGATGATGAAAATGATCATATGTTTTTCAGGAGGAGGGTGGAACTAAAAAGTACAAGAGGTCATAAAGGGAATAGAAAGTTCTGTTTCTTGTTTTGGTACCCAGGAGCACCCTAAGCAGTGGTCCTTCTTAAGTCACAGAAACTTTTTTTGACATTTACTCTTTTTAAAATTTATTTTTGTCAAAATACTACACATAGCTTGAGAAAGCATAAAATATGCCTGGAGGCCAGGCACAGTGGCTCATGCCTGTAATCCCAGCACTTTGGGAGGCCGAGGTGGGAGGATCTCTTGAGCCCAGGAGCTCAAGGTGGAAGTGAGTTATGATCGTTCTACTGCTCACCAGCGTGGGCAACAGAGTGTGACCCTCTTTCTTAAAAAAAATCAAAAACCTAAAGCCACAGCAAAACACGCCAGCTCACAGCTGAAGCACTGAGAGTACATTTCCTTTCTTGTTTTTTCTTGTTTCTCTTAGTTTTCCTTGGGGCTAATTGCATTAGATATTAGAAAGGTTGAAAGAAAAATTTAAAAGATGTGAAAAGTAGAACAAAAAACATAAATGACAGATAAAGGCTGCAAAATAGAGAAAAGATAAGATCAGCAAAAGATTCAATCCAGGAAAGTCAGTGCTCAGGATCCCGATCCCGGTGGAGCTGACAATCAAGTTGGGGACATTGAAGACACATCTGGCTATGTGACAGTCAAGGGACCTGATGGTGTCCCAGTGGATGGCCTGGACATTCAGTTGCGGGAGGGTCACGTTGGTCCTGGCTGCATCCTTCTCTCCTGGATTCTAGCAAAGTCCCCACCTGGTCTCCCTTCAGTCCATCTTGTACAGTTGCCCCCAGAGGTGCCTACACCACACATCTGATCCTGCCATTTTCCTACTCAGTAACCTTCAGCTTTCCACCCGTATCTCCCATATCCCAGGCTTCAGACGGCCGGGAATCATCACTGTTCATCAAACAAGCACTATCTCTCCCAACTCCCTAACCCATGCTACGAGTGCCCAGCCCTGACTCCCATTGGGAGGCATCTCAGCCTCGCCTGCAGCCGCCCCCTCTGCAGCTGTCAACGCATGCCCCACTCTGCCCTGCATTGTACTTTGCTTTCTCTTCTAGACTGTGAGCAACCTGGAACTTTGGATTGTGGTTTTTTGCAAGTGAACACCTGTTCTCTGGTGACCAGTGTGAGGATCGGCACTGCACAGGTACACTGGACATGCTTGGTTCTGTCCATTCAGTACCTGTTTTTCCTTCTCATAACAGTAGCTAGGCTTTTCCCTGGGGAACCCCCCTCACCCACTCAAAAGTACCTGTGGCTCAAATGGGGTTGATCCACCACTCCCGGCTCCTAATGGTCATGTGTCCCAAGACAGGCTCACGTCTGTATTCCACACACTGACCCTGTCCCCCCAGCCCACACAGAACTATTGGCCTAGGAATGGGACATCTGCTCAACTGCAATTCTGGAGTTTTGCTGATCACAAGGGAAGAGGAAACTGTCTGGGTGTAAAAGTCAACACAGAAGAGAATTCAGCAGAGAAAGTTCACAGGCAAGCCGACAGCATCATCTAAGCATTTGGATCCAGTTGTGTAAGGTTCACCCATGGACCCCTCAGCTGAGGGATGCATTCGGTTTCTGCTTAAGTCCCTGGGAGATGA